AATTAGACAGCACTGCTTTTCTACGGGCCAAATTACCACTGATATTTTCGTTATAAAACCTAGTTTCGTAACCCTACTTTCATTATTTACAACTACCAATGTTTTCTTTTTTTTTTTAATTTTTGTAGAATTAGAAACATTCCTTTGATAATAAAATACCTTGAACATGATTATGTAAAATTCATTAATAGTCGACTATTTATTAATGAAAGATACTTCAGGCATCATTGGCTATGTTTTTTACACTTTGTTTACATTAATTCCCGATTCCACAATAATGCACATATCAGGCTTGGTCTAGATATCAGGTCACATCAATTTGCATACTCTAAATAGGCTATTATGTGTATCTGGCCTATAAGTGTATCGGGTTTAGCCGTGCACCAAGATGCACATTAGCATATTGAACGAAGACAGTTTGCTTACTACAGCCTAAGGGAAACAGTAGGGCTGCTACAACTTTTCATATTTTGTTAAATATTATATAGCCGAAAGCAATATCTAGTCAACTTTGTATTCAATCTTTTGATTTTATTTAAATTATATTTAGATATGGATTTTAAAAAACTCCTTCATTATTCCGCCCATTTTTAAACACATTTAAATACCTTAATAGCTTTTTAAGTCATATAAACAATGCAAGAACAAAACAGTTCAACCCGTATGTATGGTTATAACATTTTAGATCTCGAAAAAAATATAAAAATACTCCACGGTATATTTAAAAATAATTTAGTCCTAAAGATCTATTTTGGTACCTGAAATTAAATTTGATATAGGGAAATTAAACACCTAATTGTATTACACATTGTCTATTGGATAACTGACGCGTTTCATTCTAGGAATACATATATAACCAATGTTCTGAGTTGAAATTCCAGTCCAACTTTGACACAATATAATTTTATTTTCAAATTTTGAGAATACAAAAAGCCAATGTCTATTAGAGGTAATGTGGTATTATAATAGTGAAATTTAAAATATTAGTATAGGCTTCATAACCAGTTTAACGTCAGCCGTCAACCCTATCCACGTACTAGAGCATTAACGATAAGTTTCAATGACTAGATTAATATTCAAGATTATAAATAACAATAACGTTTAGTTATGCAGTTTATTATAAGATAATATTAGGCGATTTCAGCGGTGATCTTTAGTACACAATTATGCTTTAATTTACTATCGATTAAGGAAACCGTCTGTTGCAAATCAAACAACACCCAGTGGCGCTACAACCTATTAGGTCTGGGCCTAAGATTTCTGTATCTTTTATATTGGTATTGAGGTAGGTGAGCACCTCATTAGAGACACCTGAATTTATTATTATGATATTAGCTGGCCCCGCGAATTTTATTTTCCTAAAGATGTTTTTTTACTTAGCCTACCTTTTTAGTATCTACATACTAACATATTAAACTTTTGCTATGTTACCCCATAGAGACTGATCGCTTTTCCAAAATAAAAACTTATCTGCTAAGTAAAACTGATTTTTTCATTTTTTGTAATATTTTTCCGAATTTTCTCAACATAAAAACCTCAGAGAAAGGAAATGAAATATTCAAATAGGTCTTTAAGATTTGCGGTTGCTATTTCGCTATCATTTTTATTTATATAGATTATTGAACATTGTTATATTTTCCTTTAAGTATTTTTCCTCCTTAAAATGTAATAAATTAATATGTTGCTTGGCACACCGTCATTGATTTCTATTTAATCCATTCATAATGTTTCAGTTAAATTTATATTTCTATAATATTTTTTTTATAAATAAGTGTATGATTTTATTCATACTGACAATACTGCGATAATATTATAATGACACCAGGAAGGAACCTTGCATGAGAGTCGAGATATCTTATCAAACTTAAACGAGGCGACTTGAATAATAAACACGAATTTAGATAAAACTACCACGCTTCAATTTAAATACATTATACTTAACTCAAAAGCTCCAAATTCTCATTAAAGTAAAAAACTTTCCATTAGAGAATGCTCTGTAACTATTTATATCTAAAATAGATAAATAAATTAATATTATTGTAATCAATAACACCCTAAAATGTAATGACAATACTTTCGTTCATCTGATCGGCTTTTTCATCTTCTAAGAAATTCGCTAGAAATCGAACTCAAAACGCTTTATTCATCATCAACTGAGCAGCATTCTATACGATATATTTGCCTTTTATTAGAAAACAGCTCTAGAACCTTATCTAATATCTACTGCTGTAATTAAATGGATCCCATTTAATGTCACAGGCAACACACAACTCTAATTGAGTTTCCTATGTAAATAGTAAGAACACACGCTTTTATTTTGTATCTATACAGACATTGTTCTCTATACGCGGTTTAATCTCAATGCTATTGTGTAGCGTAACGTAACGTAACTGTTCTTCCTGTTTCTGAGACACTTGATATTTAAAAAATACATACATTTGCACGTATCTCTAGGATATAAAAAAATACTTTCTGTAGTTGCTTTTCGCTCAAGCTATAAATGACCAAAATCCAGATCGGTGAGCTACAAGTACACAAAAAATATACATGGTGTAGTGGTTTTTTTATAATCAATTCAGGTCAATCAAAATCGGAACTTATGGTTCCACGTTACTACATACAAAAGACATCTAACCTGAAATCTGAGGCCAAGACCTAAAGAGGTTGCAGCGCCACTGATTTATTTTAAAGATGTTAATCAAATTATACTTCATACTAAAATTAAAGTTGAATAAAATAATAATATTAAGTATAATAACTAAGTAACTAGAAAGTTCTAAACTTAATCGAAAAGGCCGCGAATTTCACGATATACGGCCACGTTCCAACTTGAAACCGGCTAACTTTTATTGCTGAGTCACTCATAGTCGAGCGTTGAAGTTTGACCGTGTTTTGTTACTGCCGACGAAAACACGTGCTTATATAATCGATACCTTCTCTATTAAGCCATAAAGCCATCTTCAAAAATTACAAAGCTATATATGACCGATTCTCTGCTTCTTAAGCTTTAAGTCACCCGAGACCTTACTTAATATAATTTCGCTAACACATCCTGAAACTTTGGATCATAGATCTGAAATTTCAGTATAACTTTATTCAATGAAAAACGAATCGCAACTGCCACTAATTTTTTATGCCATTTTGCAACAACACGTAGAGATAGCTATTATTATGAAGGGCAACGTGAGCAGTATTGGCCCAGTCGCTTCGGCATCCCTGAAGTCGCAAATTCGATCGACAGCCGTGCATCAATAGACAAAGGTCTATGTGCGCAATTATTACTCGTGTAGTACTGTGCGTATTATATTGTAACGTAAACCTGTCTTGAATGATTTTCTGAAAGAATTTCTAGGAGTTTTTATTAAATTGACTGAAATGTGGTTTGTAACCTTTTCAAGAGATCCTCTAACACATACTAGAAAATTTGAATTTACCTAACGTTACCTATCTACCTTATCCTCTTCAATATGCTGAAATATTCAGTCAGGTTTTACAGGGCCTAGTTACCTGTTACAATATTAAGGTAATCATTATGTTACATTATAAGAAACATTCTGGAGCGACTTTTCTAATGCAATTAAATTCCTTATTTTAATAAACCCTCGAGTCTACCCTCTTTTGTTTACCGTTTAGTCTTGTTTCTTTCTAAATTAAAAATAGACCATTCATCCTAATTTCGAACATCAGAAAACAAAATAGTAACTCCTATTTGGCACAAAGTTACTTCAACTACTCACAGCCGTAGCATTAAGCGGGCTTATCGACGGACGTCCGGTACCGGCTTTATCGTAACCTCCGCCATCTTGCGGCGCCATTTTGAATTTATCGAGTCGATTCGGCAAACGATCAAGTTTTACAGATATCCTGCGACACGTCAAAGGTTGTTTGCTTATCTTAATACATCGACTCAGTGGTGCTTATAACTAAAGCCCCACTTTCTCCTTTTGGTCGTAAAAGGGGTCTTAAGTTTAACACTAATATTTCTAAGTAAGACCAATAAATTTCTGTGTTATATAAATAGGATATGTAAGCTAACAAATCAATAGGTATTAATCTTAAGAATACAAGAAAGACAACAAATATTCTAACATAGCTCACTATTCGTAACAATCAACTTGAAAGCTTTATGTACACGCCTATTTATTTAGGAAGCGACCTGTTGCTATGGCAACAAGTTTAGCGCTCATTACGCGTCATTAAGCGCCAATGGCTTGATTTGGTTACGCCTTGCACGCGTCGTGATTCAGAGAACATTAATTTGATTTATGCGAAAGCTCCTTCATCCGTTGCTGTTTGGTTCATATAGTTACATTTATGTACGTAAAAATAAGCACATGTACATTATATTATTTACACGGCATAATTATTTTATAATAAGACAATTTAGTAGATATAACATTTCAATATAACACACAGCAACTAATAAACTATTTAGCGATAGTAATTCTATGATAAACAAGAAAATGTTAAAATAAAATACCTTCTAACCTCACTTTCTATAGAACTCATGTCGACAGATACGTTCTAGTCATAAGTCAATAAAACTCACATTCACAAAGAGTACTGTGTTCACATAAATCAAGAACGCGGACAAGATTTCCGCATCCAACTCAAATAAAAGTAAGAAACGCGCGAGTGGGTATAACGAGCTGTTAGCGACAAGTTCAGCCAATCGGATGTTATGATTCACTGGTTAATATACTTTCCATGACAGTGGACAAGTTTTTGTTGAGTTCTCTTTACTTTACTCAAGTATGCAAAAATATGATAGTAAGATACTCAATAATGTTTTTCTAAAGCATAAGTTTAAATTAATAATAAATAAATAAAATAAAAAATAAAAATGCCTTTTATTTCTTACAGCTTATAAAACAAGATGTTAGATTAGATTAGGTTAGTTTGCTTACATACAATTGTTCGCTTTGTTAGTAATTAAGATTGTATCCTAAATTTACTTGTGTTAGTTTTTCCTTAACCCGATACTATTAAACTATTATTCTTCATTCTGTAAGAACTCCTCTGTAGGTGAAGGCCTCCTCCAAAGATAGCCAGTCCTCTCTAGATTGAGCTACTTGAATCCAGTTGGGGCCAGCTGTTTTTTTGATGTCGTCTTCCCAGCTAGCCACAGGTCTACCTCTCTTCCTTTTTCCCTGTGGACCCGCCCAAATGGTCACCGTTTTCGTCCATCTCTTGTCGCGTAGACGCGCCACATGTCCGGCCCACCTCCATTTTAGTGACTGGGCGTGTTCTAATCCATCCTTGGTTGTGTTTCTAATTTTGGTGTGCCTTATTTTTTGCACCTTTCTAATATTCAGCATACTGCGTTCTATACCCCGCTGACATGTAATTATTTTATCCTTTGTTTTTTTGTTGAATTTCCATGTTTGGCAAGCATACGTGAGGCACGGTATTAGGCACGAGTTTAGTACTTTAGTTTTAATTTTGACCGGCATGCTGATTTTGAATATGTCCTTCAGTGCCCAGTATTTGTTCCAGGTAAGCTGAGTCCTGCGTTCTACTTCTTGATCGTTACTATTGTGTAAGCTAATTTGTTTACCCAGGTATATGTAGCTGTCTGTGTATTTGAGAGGCTCGCTACCTAAGTATAATGCTTTCTTTTCACTGCTAGTCATCAACATTGTTTTGGACAAGTTAATTTCCAAACCTACTCGTTTACTGGCATTATTAAGTGATTCTAACATATATTGGATTTCTTGTCCTGTTTCAGATAAAAGAACCAAATCATCTGCAAATCTTAAATGGCTCAGGTAGGCATCGTTAATCTTGATACCCCGACCTTTCCAATTGAGTTGACTAATTACTGTTACCAGTGTTGCTAGAAACAGCAATGGTGAAAGAGGGTCGCCCTGTCTTACTCCTCTTTTTATCGGGAACCAAGGCCCAGCTGTCTCTAATTTGAATCTGCTCTTGCTGTTGTTGTAAATTCTCTTGATTACAGAGATGTATTCTTTTTCTACTCCTTGCGTTGTTAGGCTTTCCCATATGTTTATATGTGATACGCAATCAAATGCTTTACTGTAATCAATGTACGCAATGTAGAGTGGTCTTTTTTATCGCGGTATTTCTCAATCCGAAGTTCCAGTGTGTGTATCAATCGTTGAGTACCCCTTCCTAAATCCGGCTTGCTCGACAGGTTGACGCGCTTCTAGTGTAGGGTATATTCTCTTATTCACTATTGAAGAGAAGAGCTTGTAGATGGTAGGTAGCAGGCTTATTGGTCTGTAGTTAACTATATCATTGGGGTCACCCTTTTTGTAGATAAGGATAATGTCAGATTCTGACCACTGGGTGGGTGTTTCTCCAGTGTTAAGAATGAGGTTAAACAGTTCAGTCAGGTGTACTATAAGAGTTTCTGAATCGGTTTTTAGTATCTCATTTGTGATGCCGTCAATTCCTGGGCTTTTCCCTGATTTAAGAGTTTTTGTTGCTGCTATTACCTCGCTTATTTCAATCTGAGGTATAGGTGGATTTTTTAAATTAATAAGTTAATCTAAATTAATAATTCGAAATATAGTGTCCTTCAAGAAAAGAGCGTACCAAATCTTAAAAGGCCTCTATAACTTAACATCAAGTGAGCCTCCTGCCCGTTTTCCCCCTATTCTATAAAACTTGCTTTTTAGGGTTAACCTCAGACACAACATAGTAAGTACTTACTATGATACAAGCCAACATTTGGACACGTTCAAAAATAAATGTAAAAATACAGTAATACATTCGTCGAAGGTTTTTTTTTTGATATAAAATTAGTTTTCATATCAATCACAAAAACCCATTTCACGTAAATCATACATCAATGTTCCAATATTATATAATGCAAATATAAATATTTTTTCTTTACATTTCCTTTGCTTGTCAATAGGCACATTATCATATCGCAAGAAAATATGTACACATAGGTTTATGAAACCATAAGCAAACGTCACTTTGTGGTTAACGAATGAGCGACGTCCGCGTCGGCAATTTGTCATAGTGACATGGGGTCCAAGCTTTATGGATTGTCACAGATAATTTATTTGGCATAATATTGCAATAATACTTTGTCTTTCGACGACCGATGATCAATTCCTTAATGTGATGTTATTTGAAAAATATTTTGCTTATTATCATGTCGAACAAACCATTGCAAAAATTTTCAAAACGCTAACTCTATTACTAAAAAGACGCCATAATTATATTGTTTTTGCTTCATGTGGAAATTTAACAATTAAATAAAAGGTTAGTCAATTATCATTTCTTAATTCAATTACAATATAGGTATTTAGACAGTTTGTTATCATTCAAATTAATAACTTCAGAAACGCAATAAACTCACAACTAATATTTATGACAGCGGAAATAGTCTCGTTAAAGCTAATTGCGTGGTTACCCCAGCAAATGCTTACTTTAAGGCAATAAAAACAGCGTTGACAAATAAAAGCCTACTCGGTCGGGTAACTTATTATTTTATATTTCGGTCTTTTTCGCTGACAAAACAGAAACAACGACATTAAAGAACACAAACACTTAACATATGAAAATTGAGAGAAAAATACTATAAAAATAACGATTTCGTAAAATAATATTTGTAATTCAAGATATCAAACTCAGCTTAGTAATGGAGAAAAAATAAATGCTCTTAAAAACTTGATTTATTATAATGACAGCATTTACTTGTTAGTAACCCACGTTCGTAGCTCAAGCTTTTGTCAAGGTTAAAGTTTCGCGATAACCAGAAGGTCTTGGGTTCGCATTTGCAGTGTGTTTGACAATAAGTGAAACAGAAGATATTTTCATAATGCTGACTTTATTGAGTATAAAGAAACGACTATATTTTTAATAAATAAATATAAATAGAAACAAAATATTTAATGCATTCCTTAAAATAAAATTCCTTATTAAAATAACTACAGTCAAAACCTTTATAACGACATCGGTTCTTTTTTTTTTGTATTTGGTAATTTTTCTCATGGTTACTGATTTTAAATTGTATGTCGATTTAGGGTCAGCTGTTAGGAAAACAGGATTGTGTTTTTAATAAATAATTATAAATAGAAAAGAAAATGTGTCTTCTACACACCCTTTAAGTTTTATTTAACCCTTTACGCTGAGCTTTAGATACTGCATTAAACCTAAAAAATAATACCTTATTAAAATAACTAGTTACCAAGCTAAATATAATAAATCCAAACATTGTTCAACAATGTGTGCAGAATAAACATAAAACTGCGCATGTGGCTGTTATTAAATTATTTAATCGTCTCTTCGCGTTTGTTTATAGTCCATTTCGATAATATTGCTATGAGAAGGGGACTATTTATAGATGGAAATGAGTAGGGCATAATACACTTGTAAAAAGACTGTTTATAATATTAATTACTGTAATATTAAATACTGTATATATAACACATTAGTATATTGTGAGTAAACATCATGTTACACTACCAAACATCACATCAGTGCCTATGCAATGTTTAGTTTCCTTCACAAATATGCTTTTCATCCTTGAAACACTTATTAAACAATTTGTCAATTTAAAAAAAAATCTAGATACATGTACAGTACCAAGGGCAATCAAAAGACATGATCTGGTATCACACACAATGCAAGACTGTAATCGAATAACTAAAAAGACCTGAAGGATTCAAAGTCATTTATCCCACTTAAAAGCAAAAGACATCAGCTGTATGCATATTGCATATATACATATTTATATATTTCTAAAACACGATGTTTAATATTTTATATGTATGCATAAAATTATACAAGAAAATATGACATCGTAAATTTTACACACATAAAAATCAGTAATCTAATATAATAATCAGTTATCAAAAATAAGCAAGCTATAAACAATTTAACAAGCTACGACAAAATAAAAAATCAAAATAAATATAATAACTACCAAAACGAATAATAGGAGCACGATAAAATATAATACGCAACAAACGTATTATTTAATAAACCATTTCCAAGAACATTTTCATAACAATACCTCAATAAACAAAATGAACTCTCCTTATATTTTGTCATCACTCACAATGAAAAGCTCTGAATATATAACACGTTTCCATACAATAACATTCGCAAATAAAACTCGCGCAACAGATGTCCTCTATATAACGGTGTTACTATAATAATAGATAACGGAGTATTCATGTTAAATGTATAAACTTTTTCATACCTCTTTTGGAAAAGCTTATATTGGAAATTATTATATTAAATGTTTAGTAGTAGTACTACTCAGTTATACTAATCAGAAGGAGCAGTGTTGGCCTAGTGGCTTAAGCGTGCGACTTAAAACTGAGGTGCTGCATTCGAATCAATGGATCTTCTGATCTTTCTGAGATGTAACGTTCTATGTATACTTGTTTATGGTTAGTGCATCGTGAGAAAAACGGCATGTCTTAGTCCCGAACGAACGAAAGAAGACGAAATGAAGTATGTTGTGTAATTAATTTTTTTATAGGCTCAAGTATGTGTCTATAAAATAATAAATAAAACGGGTTTAATCAAATGCTAGATCAAGTTGTAGCTACTGGATTATTATTAATATATTTAAAAAAAGCTTTCCTCCGTTACGATTACAAAATTATTCTTTATATTAGATTTTTTAAATCAAGATACAACAATGAATATCACCGATGTCTCTTCAAGGTAAGCCTACGCAGCAGAAGACTACTGAAGATTAGTTTTTAGTTTACCCAACATTTTGTGTATCATGTTATTCAGTACAAATAAAGTATTATTTATTTGTTTTATTTATTATTTACCTTTATTATATACCTTCATTATTGTATATGGGGGGCGGGGTTTAAGGGTAAAAAACGGTTTATCTCGATTTTCGGCAAAACCACAAGTCCTATCGAAGAAAGTTAAATGGCAAAGTTGTAGGTAATAAAAAGATCTAAAACTTTTGTATTCACACATTTTTCACATAACCTCAAAATTGGTGTGAAAAATTAAAAAAACAAAGTTTTTGGTTTTTTATTTTTATCTTTTACAAAAATTTATTTTTTTAAACGAAATTTGGTGAAAACTTACCTTATAATGTCCCAAATATACTGTAATTTATTCGATTAAAAATATTTATTTTTTCACCTTATTTTGAATTAATATCGAAAAAACACCCTAATTTTCAATCAAAAATTCTGACGTCAAAATTTCAGCTTTTTTTCAAAAAGTTGGTGTGCTTTCAGTTCGTTGAAATCTCTACTTTCCTATGGTAAAAAAAAATATATATATATTACCATACCATACCATACCATAGTAAATCTACTTAGAAAACGCAAAAAATCGTATGCAGTAACGCCCAGACCTGTCATCCCCTTCCTTACTTTCTCTATGAAATACGAAAATTTTAGCCCATCTAAAGGCTAAATTTTTTTTTTAGGTCACTCAGGTATATATAAGTTATCTTAAAATAGTAATAAATAGGCATCTGATTATAATTTAAAGAAGATTCATACTAAATTTAACGCCTAAAATTTGTAAATCGTACTTAGACTAAGCCTATCTTAAAAGTTATAATATGTTTACTTAGCATTCATTAAGTTAATTCTTAGCCCAGAAGGACTATAAATTCAAATCCTAAGATTACCGCTTGCTACAGCTTTGAAAATTACTGCTTAATATATTGATTACTACTTACCACAGTGATAGGATATGCTGGATTGATGATAGTGTACAGCAGGATGTGATTAGGTCGGGCCGGAGGCTCTCTTTTACGCCTAGGCTCTGCTGACATATAGTTGTTGCCATTACTCTGTAACAATAGAAGACAATGAGTGAATAAAATCTAAAATCCAAACACATTGGTGAGTCGCAATTGGTCTCTATAATATACATATTGCTAATTAAGCGCTTGTCTGTGTTGATCGATTTCTATTTTATTTAAACAGTACTGGACCGACGTCTGGCCGCAATCGCACCGGATGGTAAGTAAGATAGATAGTAAGCATATTTAGCCGTTTGAATGAACCAAAGAATGAAAGAGTGAAGGGGGCAAGAAGTTCTATTTATTCGCTGTTACCTAGACCAAGAAACTATCCAAATCGTGTAGTGCAGCAGGGGATATCAACAACGAAAGGGTAAAACTCTAGCGTAGAGAAGCGTATTTGGAAAGTGGATGAAGGAATCAAGTTACGTAGTTCCAAGGATCTATAGAAGACTAAAAGGCAACTGAACGAAACGAAACGGAGCGTTAGTTGTACCAACAACCTGGATTAATTATAAATATGAAAAATTCATGCATAGTAGACATGTAATACAGACTAGCATTTTTAAAACTCATCAAAGGCGGTATAAGTTAATAAACTAAAAACAACAACGACGATTTAATAAAAATTCTTCACTAAACAATGAATCAACCTTCTGTATTGTTTACAGGCTGCTCTAATTAATGTAATACCAAGTTATTATACAGGATGTATGCAAGTGATAAACTGCCTTCCGAAAAGCTTATTTAAGTAGGTGGATATTTATTGCATCGCCGCGCTTACATTCACTATTACTTTACTGTGTAAATTTTCAAGTAGGATTTTATAAAGTACGTAAATTTCATGAGAACGTCTCGTTAAAAGTGGTATTTCGTGAAGCATAGATTCCTTTTTTTTAATTAGTATACATTTCTGTATATAAACCACAATGTATGTGAAATAAATAGGGTCATACAAAAATATCATTTTTATACATTTCCCATTTAAACACTTGAAGTTAATTTCGGTAAAATTCCTAAGGTAAAAAAATTACACAACATTTGTATAACAGAGTAAATTAAATCATCGAACAGGGTCGTTCAAAATTGTAGGCACGCGAGGGTTAAACAGAAATTAATAACAACAAACAGCGCAGCTATCGCGCAAACAAACGTAATAAGACGTAGCGGCATGAATATTCATCATCACGACAGCGGAAGGGTTAAGTAGGGTACAAGAAATAGGCGAGCCTGTTCCTTGGACCCAAGACCAAATAATGCTATGTCCGTTGATAATTGCTAATATTTATACACTCGTACAATATGTATGAGAATCAATTATAAATTAATTGTATGTAGATATTCATATTGTTTTATGTTTATATTTTATTTCTGGTCCAGATTAAGCTACCTTATGCCGCCACAGACACAAACGTAACCTTCTAACTTGGGCACTAACAGTATCGCTTGTCAGTCATCTTATAGCTTGCACCACTAAAGCGGATAAGATCTCCAAGAAAATGACTAGCGTTATTCCAACTCAATGTAATTTAGTTAAAGTTCAAATTAGCCCAGGACGGGTTTAGAATATTTACTGAGAAACGGATTTCGCAGTGCTTTAAATAACTCGTGGGGCTCAATTTTTAGGAACACAACTCAATATTGGTAAATTCAAATACATTTTTATCGCCTAATGGAGTGTGTTAACTAGTTTCTTAATAATGCATAATCATACCAGCTGTATACTTCTTTACAGAAGTAGTCTTACTATGCTATAAGGAATGTTATGATAGCCTAGGTCGAGTCAGTACGGTTTAAATTTCACAAAGACTCCTTATTTTAAGCTTTGAGACAATTTTCTTCCATTATAATAAAACAAGACACTGAGCTCAGTTCCTGAATTACATGGTTTTTAGTTGAACATTAGACATGAAAATAAGCTTTTTTATTTACCCTAAACTTTACAATAACTATTTAAATTTTACAATGAGTATATTTATGAGTTAGTAGAAACTGACTTAAATTTTGTTAATAATTATTTTTAGAGTAATTCCCATCCTGGAAAGTGCCTACTGCATTTTCTTACAAAGTCTATGTCTGGTTTTTGGTTTGGTGCAGCATTTTTCTGCCGGCGACCTACCAGATTATCCGACCTTCGGCTAGGTTACCAACGCTTCTTTTCCCAAAGGTCTGTGAGTCTTAGTGAGTTGCCCACCTACATTTAAGTTGAAAAGTGTTTGCTTCTTCGTAATATTATTATTATACCATACTACTTTTAACGTTAGAAATATTCGACAAAATCTTCGTTTAGTGGGGTTAAAGTATATAATACATATATTTCTATAAAAAACCCGTCTATTATGTTATTTTATGGCATCTTGTTTATTTAGGTCTTACATTATGAAAGTACGACCGTCTTGATAACATTTTTGTACAGCATTTCGTGAGTCAAGAGTTTTCATTTAATTTTAAGAACTTCAAGATTCTGTTGTGTGAAACGAATTTGTTTAAAATTATAGCTTAAAATATCTTTGTTTTTTATTTTTAAACGGTCAATTTAGTTGCAAATAAAATAGTTATATGTATATTTTAATCTTATTTCTCAGAAGTAGTTTCAAACTGAAATTATTATTTTCTTAACATATATATTACATGCTATGTCCGGTACATTCCTCTCCGTTGCTAATTAAACGCATAATAACTATTTCGCGTTTATAGATAAAGAAGGCTCGCCACAGCCTGGACAGAGCTTTAAACAAACTATA